TGCATGAGATGACACCTATCGGTGGCTATGAAAAAGCCTGCATCAGTGAGCTTAGTGGATCCTGGGTTCCTCTGGGGAGAAGGGTGTGTCACCTCTTGCCAGTGGATGTGTGTCTGCCGCCTGTCACTCAATTCTGAGAGCATTTGGCCTTCTCCAGTAGGCCCAGGGGGATGGGCTGCAGTTACTGATGAGGGCATCTTTGCTTTCATTTTTACCACTTCATGGCTTATTTGCTTCCATCCTGGATTTGGTGTTAGGTCATCCTCAGCTTCCAGGAACTAGGGCCACAAGAGATGTGGGTGTGGTGCAGAGAGACAGACATGGGCTCTGGGGTCAGCCAATAGTCATAGACCCGTGCATGACCTTAACTAAGTGACTCAACTTATGAACCATAGTGTCACTTCCTCTGCCACCCAGGCCAGCTTGGAAACTGCTGGTAACCTCTGGGTTTTATGCTCTTGGCATTGTCAGTGAAGAATTCCTTATTTAAGGATTTACAACGTTCCCTCGAGCAGCCTCCTTGCTCATTGCAGTAGACAGCTTTGCTGGAGAGCCAGACCTGGATTTGAATGTTGGTTTTCTTATCCATAAAATTGAGATTACGATACCCAGCAGGGTTGTTGAGGATTAATGGAATGTTTATATACAAAGTGACCATCCATTCTTTGGAAGAGAAATGTTAGTTTCTCTTCCATTTAAAACATCTGCATGTTGGACCTTCAATCAACTGAATCTCCCTCACACCCGCCTCTGTTTTCCATTGTTTTGTTATCACAATAATCAGGACTGAACTCTGTTCTAGGAACAAGAGAGACAAAGACAGGGTTCTGGGCTTCATTTTTCAAAACAGTCACATAAAGTAGAAGATGAATTTGACCTTTTAAACAAACCTATGGTGAAATCTTGCTTCCTTTATTTTAGCGGTGGTAGTGACCACATTAGGGGAGATTTAGAAAGGGTGAACTAATGTAACCTTCCAAATTTCTTGGGACACAACAAAAAACCCAGAAACCAGAAATATTTTGATAACATAAAAATTAAACATTGCTGCATGGCAGAAACACCACAAACAAAATTAAAAGACAAATATCACTGGGGGGAAAATTGCAAATATACAACCAACAAAACCATTTTCCTTAATATACAAAGAGCTCTTTTATGTGATTAAGAAAATAATGAATATATTTTTTAAAAGGCCAAAGATGTGAGTAGAAAATGCACAGAAAAAGGAATTCAAAAGGCCAGTCAATAACTGAAAATATCTAATCTCACACTAAAGAAAGAAACCAAGTTTAAAAAAGGAGATACTACTTAGACCTAGGAGGTTGGCAGAGATTAATTGCTATACAATGTGGGCCACTGGTGGGAGTGAATTGCACCTGCTGGTTTGTGTGGAAATTGCTGAGAACTTTTAGCAACATAATTTGGCGATATCTTCCAAATTAAAAACACATCCTTAGAACCAGAGATTCAAACTCTTTTCTTGGAATGTATCAGTTAATCGCCTAATAACCTGTCTTGATAAAGTAAATATATCTAAGGACACTCCGTGAACATTAATAGTGGTTACTTTCTGGGTGTAGAGAAGAGATGTTTGCTTTTCATTTTTCCACTTTTGTATCATATGAACTTTTTCTTATCAGAGAGTTGTATTTTGTTATTTTTAAAAAGTTAAAATTGTTTTCCAGACATAACAGCACACTTAACAACCTAAGAAACCTTGCCTCTGACACCAGGGTCTCATAGAAATCCCACAGTTGGTACTCAGACATTTCATTTAATTACAAGCAAATGCAGTATGAGATGTTTTCGTAGTACATTGCCTCAAATGCCAACTGTGATCACTCAGAATGATCTCTCTGGACCTCCCTGGGTCCTCTGCCATGTGGCCTTCTACCTTCCTCCTCCTCTTCTTCCTCTAGTATGTTTTTATTGATTTTAGAGAGAGGAAGGGAGCGGGAGAGAGAGAAGCACCAATTGGCTGCCTCCTGCACACCCCTAGTGGGGATCGAGCCCGCAGCCCAGGCATGAGCCTGACTGGGAATGGAACCAGCGACCTCTTGGTGCATGGGACGACGCTAACCATTGAGCGACACCTGCCAGGGCAGCCTGTACCTTCTTAAGAAACCTGCTACAGGCATGTGCTCCTCCCCCAGAGGCTTTCTCCTCCCCATCCAGTGTGACTGTCCCAGGCCCGTAGATGCTATCCTCCGTGCCCGATCACACGCTCGCTGTCTGCTCTGGGCTTCTGGAATGTCCCAGAAGGGTCTCAGTGGAGATAGGACTGGAGCCAAGAGTAGGAATAGGAGTAGGTAGGGGTGGGAGGGATCGAGAAAAACTAGGAGGGGAGCTACATAGTCACACAAGGAATAATAACAGTGACAGTTATTGATGACTTACCACGTACCCATATATTCACATACAACATGTTCTGCATTTCATGGAAGCTTCACGACCCCCAGGGGAAGTCAGCATTATGAGCCCCATTCTACAGGTAAGGGGACAGTGGCCAGAGAGGCCACACAGGTAGCGAAGCAGCTGAGCTGGAATTCGAAACGAAGCCTGCCCTCCCTCCCCACCCCTTCCCAACTCTGAGGCCCAGCTCTTGGGACTGTTCCATGCGAGGTGTGGAGGTGGGCACTAGGAGAGGGATCTGTTCACGGTCCCGAGGAGTCACCTGAAGATTTAACCCCAGGAATCACAGTGCTGGGCCTCCCTCCGAGACTGGACGTTGGAAAGAATATAGTCCCTGGCTATGCGAGCTGTGCTCCTGTGTGTGTGTGGAGGAGGGAGGCAGAGGAACGTCTGCAGAGAAAGCGGAGATGACATTCCGTCCTGGGAACGGAACTACCAGCAGTACTTTATGATTTGTGGTTTCCCTTCAGTCCATTAGAAAACACTGCCGTAAAACTGCCATTCTGGATGGAGCTGCGCCCCTCCAGTGAGCTGAGCTGGGCCGGCCTGGCATCAGGCCCGGCCTCAGCCGCCTCAGGCCCCCTTGGCTGCGGACCCAGGGGCCGCGCGGGCCCCCGCTGCGGTGCTGGAGCAGGCAGTTCGCCGCCGATTTCCCTTCTGATCCCTCATGATAACTTCCACGGCGCGTTTCCTACTGTCTGGCCGAGGCCACACTGCCCGAGGAGGCTCCGACCTGGAGTGCCTGGAAAAGTCGCCCACGGCCACTTGGGGAGCAGAGTCCCCCCAGGTGCGGCTGAGGTTGTGCCAGCCGTCTAACAACTGTAGCTAGTATAGCAGGGAGGGGGCCTCCAGATGCCAGGGAGGGGACAGAAACTTTGTGCCCCTGTGGAGAAATGCGGAAGTCACTGGAGCAGATTCCAGCGGCTTTCTCTAGGCAGGTCTTTTCGTCTTCCCCCTGCAATGCTGATTTTGCTTTTCAGTCTGAGAGGCAGCCTGGAAGGCTCAAGCGTGGGCGTTGGGCAGCATTTGCCAGGAGCCTGGATGGAAAGTTTCTTTTACTTATTGTGTCCTAAGTTCTTGGCGCTGTGCTGGGTGTCTGAGGCACATTTTCTAGTTTTCTCCCTGATGCCAACTGCACAATGAATGACGTTGCCATTTTAGAAATGAGGCAGCTGAGGTTCAGAGGCTCAGGAAGTTGTCATGGCCAAAAAGTGGCCAGAGTTCCGCCATAGGAACGTGGGCTCCAGTTCTGATATTCTGTGTGTATCCAACCACCAGACCACGGTTGTGTAGGGGTGAGTCCCCGCAGAAACTTGGGTGGATCTTGCCCCCCGAGAGTTGCCCCTCTGGGCTGTAGGGGATGTGAGGAGTGCCCTCAGGGAGCCGGGCACACGTAGCTTTTTTTCAGGGCCTGAGAATGAGCTGCTGAGGGGACCTGGGCATGGGAAAAATGGTTCATTTAGTCGGAGCATTTCCCTGGCCCTCTAACCCCTTCCACTGGACTTCAGTGGCAGTTTCCTATGGAGAAAAGGGCTGTGTTGACAAACATGCCAATCAGTGAATCCCCAAGGAGGTAACCCTGTATCTTCGAGAAGGTGTGCAGCAGGGCAGTGGAAGACTGGTGGAGCCGTCACAGGTTGAGGAAGCCGCCGAGGGGGTGAGCCCAGCTCCCTCCCCAGCCCTGGCTCTGGCCTCTGCGCCTCTTCAGCACTCTCATTCTGTGCTATACAGTGGAGCCTGTACCTGCAGCCAGCTGGATTGCCTTCTAGATTCAAGATGTTTTCTGTGTGTACTGCTTGTTTCCCGGGGGAAAGGGACTTTGCCTTCCTGGTGACACCTGAAGATCTTGATCCACTTGTGCCTGTAGAGATTCCCTCTCCCCCTTCGCCCCAGCTCTGTGGCTGGTCTGAGGGGAACAGCCGACTGGCCTGACTTTGTCTAACTTAATTGTGGGTCAGCATTCTCTCACATGTGAATAAGCCTGGAATTTTTTTGAGGGGCACCTGCTTAGCTTATTTGCTAGCTCCCTTAATTTATAGGCATTGGACCCCAGTCCACTCTGTCATGTGACCCTCTCAAACATTGCTATCACTATATGTGAACATTAAAAGTAAATTTTGTACAGGGATCACAAGTTGGCAGGAGGCCCAGGGGCCCCCAGACCTGCAGCCACATGCTGGGTGTCCTGGGGCATGAACAGAACAGAGGTATGGACTCCTAGCGTAGCGCTGGATGGGCCCCATGAGCTCGATGGGGACTTGGCGGGGAGCCCATGGGAAACAGTCAGCTCTGTGAGGGGGTGGGTGCCCCATCATTGGATGTGAAACTTTCTCATTGTGTATGTGAATTCTAAAAGTAAGATAAAAGTGTTTAGCATTAAGAAAAAGAATCAGGCAGTACATAAATGTGTGTAGAAAAAATTAAAACTCACTGGACACCCCATTACTAGAGACAACCAGTGTTTATGGTCTCATGGGTATTAAGGACTCTGTTTATGGTAGGGCTCATGGGTTTTAAGTCTTGGTCTCTGTGAAGCAGTTTGATCTTGACTTTTCCAAACTAATAGTGGCCCTTCCTGTCTGCAGAACATGGAGAGTTCTTGGCTCTGGACCTTGGAGGGACCAACTTTCGTGTGCTTCGGGTGAGAGTCACGGACAATGGGCTCCAGAAGGTCGAGATGGAGAACCAGATCTACGCCATCCCTGAGGACATCATGCGAGGCAGCGGCACTCAGGTCTGAACCTTCTCTCAGTGGTCCCAGGAGCTCTGGGCCCCCAGGAGCAGACACTGCTCTTACTCTGTGGCCTGGAGGGAGGAGACCCTGGCTGAGCTTGGATTCCTTGACCTCTCTCTGCATGGTGATCCCCCTCCATGCCTGAAAGTGGAGTGGGAGGACCTCTATCAGGAGAGATACATGGGCCAGAGAGCAGGGAGCCATGTGAATGAGGCCCGAGGATCTGGATGTGTTGTAGCAACAGGTGTTTTGACTTGCCCTCTCTTTTGAGGTCATCCTTGCACATGCTGATTATTGAGGAAAGCCTGTTGTCAGAACACTGGGCCCATTCTCCTGAACATATAGGGATGGGAGGCTGTTGAGAAAACACCAAAATCCAGCTTTGGGGTGTCTGTCCTGCCTGGCATCGCAGTGGGCAGCGTGTGCTTCCACATTGGCCCCAAATCATGCTTAGTTATCTTCATACTTTGGTGGCTTCTAGAGCCATGTTTTGTATTCAGAATCTACACAACAAAAGAAGTGGATGGAGAAGAAATGTGAAATCCAAGTAAGGGTCTTCTCAGTAATAGAAAAAAAACGAGCAAGGATGGGATTGCCATTGAAGTAGTTTCCAAACATGTACTGAGCAACCTACTGTTCACTGGGCACTGATCCTTGTTGACAATCAAAGTCCAGCTCCTTCCACTCCAGGGCCTGAAGCTCAGGACTACCCCCCCAGAAAGCAGTAACGTTGTGTTAAGGGGATGAGTAACCATCAGGAGGAGGAGCCGATACGTGATGACCTATTGTGTGTCAGGCTGAGCAAAAGCACTTTCATGGATCTTTTCATTCTAGCCTCAGATGAGCCCTATGAGGCTGGGTACTCCTGTTATCTCTGCTCTATAGATGTGGGATTGGGCTTTGAAAAATTGAGTGGCTTGGCCTTAGATCACAGAAGTGGGAGGGGCCAGAGGCCAGACACAAAGCCAGATCCACACGAGTAGAGCCCATCTTTGCACAACCCTGGGGGGTTCCGTCCACTTTGTAGGCTACCTGATGTGGTCCATATGAGTGGTGCTCCCTGGAATTGGGCAATGTGGTTGTCCTGGGTCCCAGCTACCTGCTTCTGCTTCCAGAGTAAGAGGTACAGTCCAAAGGGGCTGGTGCTCCTGCAGATTTGAGATCCTGTGGGGCAGGCCCTTTGGGGTCTCTCTCTCTCAAGAGTTCCCCCAGGAGAGCCCTCTGACAGAGGGGGCACTCATTGCCACCACACCAGAAGTATCAGGCTGGTTGGTGGGTGACAGCCACAGTCCAGCCATCATTCTCTGCCCTTGAGTGTCCAGGGAAACTTTCACCTGCTGTACAAAATTCTTCCTTGGGATGTCCTTCCTGCTCCTTCTGCAGCTGCTCCCAGTCTGTGGATGGGAGTCACTGAAGACATTCCTGGACGTGGGCATAGCAGGGATCATTCTCAGCTTAAGTGCTGGCTGTTCTTGCTGTATTTTATGCCCAGCACCGACTCAATAAAAGAGTGAATGGAGGCCATAAAATCCAGGTCTGAGAAGAGGTGGAGCCTTCCCACTCCTGGTGCTGTTTTCCCCACACTGGCCACCTCCTGGGAAGGGAATTGTGGGCCATGAATAGAACATGTGGGGGAGATATTTTTAGACCCTTAATATGTCCTTGGGGCAACCTGAGGGTAAGCCTGTTTTCCTTGTTTTAATGTTGGGATCGGAGAAGGGGGGCTGAGCCCCTGGGACTGTGGGCATTTTAGCTCTACTGAGGTTGTCACTAGCTCCAGTATACATTAACAAAATGTTTTAGTCCAAATTAAAAAACACACCTGAGACTCATCTGGAAAAAACTGTGAAACTATTGTGATATTAGAAAGGTTTTGAATAAACGGAAAAAAAATGCTACATAAAAATGAAACATAAAGAAAACAAGAAGAAAATATAGGTGTTTATTTCACCTTAAGGAAGGGAAATAATAATACAGTACATGTCTAAAAGCAGCAGATAACAACATGGTAAAAAGACTGGAAGGAACTTCAGTGGTAAACACTGGTGCCCTCTCCCCTCTATTTTAGGTATCAATCTTTTAACTGGAGGAAAACAAATGGATTTAAAAAATAAAATGTAGTCAAAACCGAGAGGAAATCACCAACCCCAAAACTTGCAAACATCTTTGAAAATCTGTGGGCCTGGGCAGAGAAGGTCCCTGGATAAAACCTGTCTCCTGGTGCATGAACTTCCAACTGAGAGCAGTGAATCACAAATCGTAATAGCAGCCACTTTAGATTTTTTACAGTTTATCTTATGGGAAGGGAAGCGAGCAGATTCGCAGGCCAATGAGGAAAAAGAAACCTTTCTAACTTCATAAAATGATGCCCTTTGAGCCTTTTTATGGCAGGAAGGTGTTAGCTCTCTCTTCCAGCATCTTATCTTTAGATCATCAGCTAACAGAAAAGGAGATAGTCTTCTAAATAAGGAAGCAGATGATCTCCTCTTCCCCACTTTTAAAGAGGTGTAGGCTCTTCTAACTCAGCACAGTCCAATAGAACTTTCGAAACTGGAACCACGCTTCATCGGCTTGTGTAATATGGTAGCCGTGAGCCTCTGTGACACTGAGAGCTTGAAATGAGGCTAGTGTGACTGAGAAAGTGAATTTTTATTTTTTGAGATTCTAATTCATTGAAATTGCCGCAGATGGTTAGTGGCTCCTGTACCGGGCAGCACGCTGTTTAATGCCTCTTCACTGCCGCTCCTTTCGTTCTGCCTCCCCTCGTTGGCAGGGCAATTGGAAAGGGAGCAGTGAGCAGGGCTGGGCCAGGGGAAACAATTAATTGTTTGACCTCTTCTAAAACTCCCCCTCCCCTGCCTCTGATGATTGGCCTTCTCTCTTTGCACAGCTTCTATAACTTCCTTTTTTTTTTGGAATAAAGACTGTTTGTATTAAAGATCATTTTGACTAGATTACTGGGAAGAAGGTACTGGGAATGTGCTTACCATATCACAAATTTTGTCTCTGATTGACTTTCTAACAAAAGAACAAAGCTTTCTGAATAGCTATCTAGAAACCCTATTTACATGTTAAAATACTTGACTCTGCTCAAGGGAGTTACTACTTGTGCGTAGGTGAACTTCTTAGCGAGCGAGCGGGCTCTGTCTTTGCTCTCAAGAGTGTTTTGGTTTAGAGATTGAGTTTCAGAACCAGCATAAGTGACTTGCAGGTGATCAGACAGAGGGACAGGATCCATGCAGGAAGTTCAGTTAGAGCTGGCTACCTTCTACATGGGGGTGGCCTTGTCTTCCTGTATTCCTCCCACTGAGATGTCCTAGATATCTGGGGAGCCAGTAGGCCTCTAAGCCTGGGCTGTCACCCTCCAAACTCTCAGTTCCTTTGCAAATGCAAATAGTTTTGGTGGTTTGGTGCAGTGGTTCTCTAACCACTGCTTCAGGATCAGCTGGTGGGCCCTATCATAGTTTCTGACTCAGCAAGTTTGGGTGTGGGCCCTAGAATTTTGCATTGGTGGTGGTGGTGGTGCTGGTGGTGGTGGTGGTATTGCTGGTTCAGGACCACACTTTAAGAATCTTCCTTGCTTCTACTTAGAGAGAAAAACAGCCATTTCCTTGGTCATTAGATTTTGCCATCTGGTCAACCTGGCCCTTGGAATCTGCTCAATGTCTTTGGCCTCTGCTTACTCTTTTTTTTTTGTTTTTGTTTTTGTTTTTTTTTTGTTTTTGTTTTTTTAATTTTATTATTGTTTAAAATGTTACAGATGTGCCTTTTTCTTCCCAATGACCCGTTCCACCCTGTTCCTTCCCCCTCCCCAGTCCCTCTCCCCACCACTGTCCATGTCCTTGGGTTGTGCATATATGCACATAAATTCTTTGGTTACTCTCTCCCCCTCCGCCCACCCGCCCTCCTCCATCCCTCTGACATTCATCAGTCTCATCTATGCTTCCATGTCATTGAATCTATTCTGTTCATCAGCTTATTAAGTTTCTGCTTACTCTTTGTACCAGAATGCCCTGGCCTCAGCCTCTAAGCATCTGGGGGAGTCACCAACTTCTTTTTGAGGATGCTGAGTGGACAAGACGGAAGCCATGGGGCTATGGGCTTTGGGACTGTGAACGCCTGGGCAATTGTGAATGTAGGGTTTTCTTAGGTTTAGGATTTTTTCTAGGTGCTGTGAGTCTTGCTTAGCATAGTCATGGTTGTGAGGCTGCTCATCCACAAAGTCCAATTTGCTGTTCAGTGCTTTTCATGGACTCACTGGGTGTTCCATTTTGAATTTAGAAAGCAAAGATAAGTTCTATGAATTGCTCCCAAGAAATTAGTTTTCTAGAATGGACGAAAAATATAAAAGTTACCTTTTTTGGTTAAGTCCCTTCTTAGAATGCCAATAGAGAATGAACCACCCATTTCCCCCAGTCAGAGGAGACAGGGATGGTAAAATGCTTCTTGGCACTGAGATGGGCTGCCCTTTATGGTAAGACATGCAACTGTGCATCAGATGTCAAGGAGGGTTCTGGCAAGGCCACCAAAGGATGTTCCGTTCCTAGGGCATGCAGTGACCTTCTGATCAGCTCTGGCTGTGATTTCCCCTGCCTCATGGGATTATTGTGATAGTGGTATAAATAAATGGTTTAAGTGGAAGATAGTTCTTAATAAGTAGTACTTAATAGGTTACTATAGAAACATATTATAGAAACATAATATAAAACGTCTTGTATTGTACCAGAAATAGATAGAGTGAGTACATTCTCTAGAAGGATTAAGCCCTTATAGGTATTGACTAGTTTAGTCCTTTAGGTAATTGTGCGGTTGGGTCAGTTAGCATCCTCACGTTATGGACTGAGCAAATGAAGGCTTCACCGGGGATGCGTACCCTGCATGCTTTCAGCTAGTTTCTTTCAGAGCCCAAAGTTTGTGCCCTTAGTCCCTGTGCTTTCTGCCTCCCTGCTCATCTGTCCTGCACTCTGTGCCCTCAGCTGTTTGACCACATTGCCGAATGCCTGGCTAACTTCATGGATAAGCTACAGATCAAAGACAAGAAGCTCCCCTTGGGCTTTACCTTCTCGTTCCCCTGCATCCAGACGAAACTAGACGAGGTAAGATGAGCTTTTCATCGTTGCTCCGTTCTTTGGGCTGGGAGGGTGAGGAAGACCTCTGAGCCACCTGCTGCTTTGGTGGCCCTGACGGGTGTGTGGACAGGGTTTGAACACTGAGAGAGTGCTTCTGGGTGAGGGCGTGTCGGCGCGGGGGAGATGGTGAAGAAGTATCTTTGTCCCCTGTTGTCAAAGAACAGTGTATGAGCCACACACATTGTACATCACCTGCTTCCCTTTTAGGGAAACAGGAGTGAGAAATTAGTCAGGAACTCCTTTGATTTAAAGTGTTGGATAAAGACCTTTGGAAGAAAAGTGTCTGAGGAGTTACGATGAGAGGTTACAAGTATCTTGTTTTGGCAGTTCTATTGCCTACCCTGTTCACTTTTTAGGGCAGTTGATCAATGAAGAAATTGCTCATTTAATTTCTTTTCTGAGTCTTTGATGGGGCTCGGACTCCTTCCTAGACTAGCTAGGAAGCAGCATACACATCCAAGCATGGCTTCAGTTTAGTTAGCCCCATGGCAGAGGGCTCCACTAATGGCTGTTTGAGGAGTGTGGTCTGGGTTTTGTGAGGAATTAATGTTCAATCCTTGGTCTTTTTCCAGAGTTTCCTGGTCTCATGGACAAAGGGGTTCAAGTCCAGTGGTGTGGAAGGCAAAGACGTGGTTGCTCTGATCCGGAAGGCCATCCAGAGGAGAGGGGTGAGTGGGGGTGGCAGGGATGGAGAGGCAGGAGCTCGGGGTCTGGAGGCTCTTTTAGGTCCACTCTGAAGCCTTCCCCAGTCCGTCCTCAGCACAGCATGAGGACCTTTTGTGGATCTTAGGTGAGGTTTTCTTTTCTTCTTCCCTGCTATGTTTACTCAATAATAAATTTTTTATTTTTTCCAGTTTTATTGAAATCTAATTGACATACATCTCTGTGTCAGTTTTAAGATGTACCACATAACGATTTGACACACATGTATCGTAAAGTAATTACCACAGCAAGAATCTTATAAATGATCAGATACCTTTGGGGTTGCAGATTATCATGATGGGTAAATAATCTTAGTCTTAACCTGAAGAAAACTTGAATATCATTTTCAAGTAAGAAAGTTGGGATAATGTTGACATTAGGGTGGAATGGGGCAGAGAGACACAAGATAAAGGTCACAGAAGGATAAGACTTTTTGGAAGGAAGAGGGAGAGAGATAAAGAAAAGAAAACAGGAGATGACAATGATGACAAGATGGGCTATTCTTAGTGCGTGATGGCTTTTAACTAGACTGCAGAGCTGGTTGGGAAGCCCTCCATGATGAAGGCAGGGTGGGGAGTGAGATGCAGCTGGTAGACTGGACCTGGACCAGATTTCCAGCTATAACCTTCTTGGGTTTTGAGTAGGGTCAGGAGGCAACCCTGTTACTCTTGAGTTGTGTGTCTTACTACTCTCTTCATCTACACATCTGTGACCTTTCTGTGATGGTGAAGGTCAGATCTCTCCTTTTATCCCTGCAGGACTTTGATATTGATGTTGTGGCTGTGGTGAATGACACAGTTGGGACCATGATGACCTGCGGTTATGATGACCAGAACTGCGAGATTGGTCTCATTGTGGGTGAGTGAGCACTGGGTTTGAGGGCTGGTGTTGGCCAGTGGAGGGGGGTGTGGGCTGCAAAGGGAGGAGGGGTCCAAGGCCTGGATGTTCTTTTGTACTTCGTATTGCAAGATAATGGTATGGTCACTTTGGAGGTCTGAGACAGTACTTGTGGCGTTGGGGGTGTTAGCAGAGTGGACCGTGTTGGGATGCCCCAGGGTCTTCTCTGAGGAATCCCAGCCACCCTGGGCAGAGTCAGGATGGTAGTGCAAGAGGGAGATGGGTGCTGGGGAGAGGACAGTGTGGGCGGGCACTGAGCAGTCTCTCGTTTCGTCCAGGCACGGGCAGCAATGCCTGCTACATGGAAGAGATGCGCCACATTGACACGGTGGAGGGAGACGAGGGGCGGATGTGCATCAACATGGAGTGGGGGGCCTTCGGGGATGACGGTGTGCTCGATGACATCCGCACTGAGTTTGACCGGGAGATCGACATGGGCTCCCTGAACCCCGGGAAGCAACTGTGAGCGGAGGGCTTAGGGAGTGGGCTCAGGAGTTGAGTGGGGGGCTGGCTAAGGCTGGGGTGGGGGTTCTCATTTTTGCTTTACCATCTTCTATCCCCCAAAGTTTTCCAAGACACCCACTGGTTATAGGAATTTGTGCTCATTATATATATTGTGACTGTAAATTTCTGAGAGGGCTCTAAAAATGATAAAGCAGGCAGATATACACCAAGTAATAATTAAGTTTGTCCTTTAGAACAGTATTTTAGAAAGTCATATTCCGAGTCTAAGTGTGTGACCCTACTCTTTCTTTCCACCTTCAATTTGTAAGTTGCCCTTAGAAACAGTTTGTGAGCCACATAGGAAAGTGCTGAGATGGCCAAGATCTGGGTCTGCGAAAGCTCCTTTGGTAGCCCCTCCCCCTGTCACTGCCCAGATGACGACGAGGCTGTGAGAGATGGCTTCTAGTGACTGGCTGAGGCTCTGACTTAGAGCTCCAGTAGAGAGTAGCTTGTGAGCTAGGCTGGACCTCATGGAGTTCCAGGGCCTCCCACCCCAGCAGTACCCAGACCCAAGGCCTTCTTGGCCACCTTCCCTGGACCTGTGGCCCAGCTGGGGCCCTGGGATGAACTAGAGGAAGGGTTCCAACATTTGGACCCTGAATATTAACTCTCCAGCCTGGCCAGAGTTGGTATTCAGTTACTTTTGACTCTTACAAAACATTATTTCCCTCTCACAAACATTTACCAAATGTCCCTTAAAGATCTTGAAATAGAGATTGCTGCAAGCTTTGAAGGCAGTTACAAAATATTTTCAGCAGTTCAGGCCCTCTCTGGTCTGGTTGCTGGGACTGTGTCTTGAAGGTTTGTAGTGCTGATCTCTGCTTGGAGAGGAAAATCCAACCCTGTAAACCAACTCAGAGGTGGGGGCCGTTTTCTTTACAGGGAGAGTCCTTGCTTCCTCAAGGATGCATGGTTTGTTTAAGTCACAAGCTGTCTCACATGTTGAAACAAGAGTCCATTCACTTGTCACTTTCATAGGAACGTACTGGCTATGTGTGCCATGGCTGGTGAGGAATTTATGGACTGAAAAGTCACTCATTCATTGCCTGCCTCCATCAGTGAGACAGCCCACGTCATTCCAAGGAGCCCTGTGCCCTTTGAAGTGTCAGAAGACAGAATTGCCAGCCGGGCCTTGGCAACCCACCCCTGGCTTAGCCTTAGGCAAACCAAATCAAAGGCCAGGAGGACATATACCAGTGTCAGCGGTGGTAGCCCCAAAGTCATGTTGGGGCTTGAGTAGGAACGTTGTTTTACTCTATATGTCTCTAAATAAATAATTCTCCAAATGTTTTTAAAAACTGGAACAAAAACTTTAAAAAACCTCCCACACTTCAGAGCCCCACTGGAGTCCCTCCTACCTCCCACAGGACCACCTATTTCAGAGAAGCCGCTGCAGCAGACACTCAGTTCCTTGCTGGTCTGCCTGCCACGCAGTTGGCTGTGTTGGCGCTTAAGCATTTCGAATGCACCCTCTGCTCAAGCAGTTTAGCCAGCTCTTTACTTGGCTCCAGTTCTGCCATACTTGACCGTGGGTCTTGAGGAAGTCATTTCCTGAGGGTCCGACTTCCCCTCTGGTAGTCAGCACCAGGAGACATCCGAGTCCCTTTCCGAGTCCCTCCCCCAGCCCTGCTGCGGGCCTCCTTGATGAAGCCTGGCCTAGTTAGTGCCCACAGGCCGGCCCTGGGGGCCTCCTCTCCCTAGAACCCAGATTCTGTCTGAGATATCAAGAAAGGGCCTTCTTTGCCAAAAAGAATTAATTGTAAAGGCTTGGTTTCTCTGTCACAAAATTTGAGCCATAAAGACAGTCTTCTAAAGGAAACAGTGCCATCTAGTGTTGAAGAAACAAATCACCCGACTGCCCTCTCAGCCTCCCCCTCCCAGCCTGGTGGTTCTTAAACACGCCTTTATCTTATCAACTGTCTGCTCAGAAACCTCCAGCATATCTCCCTCCCCTATTCCTGAGAAACTCTGTGGCACTTTGAGCTCTTTCTCAACTGCCCAACCTGCCCTTCTAATCTTGCCCCATCACCCCTCCTCCCCTACCACCTCTGGTGGATTTCACACTTTTCTTAGGAATGCAAGGTAATGAGTCACTGGGCTTGCAACCTCCCCACCCCCCAATTTAATCAGATTTACCTTCTTTTTCTCTTATAAATAAATATTAAGGTTCATTTCAACATTACGTTTTATTTTCAAAAATCACTTCCTTGCTAGAGAAAAAAATTTTAAAACTCGCTACCTTATACGTAACTTACCATACTTAGGATTCAGACTATTCCAGAATGTCCCAGACTCCTTGGATGTTTTATTTGCCTGCTAATGGCCCATCCTCTCCACAGTTCCAGGCCCACCTGCCTGCAGAGACAGCCCCAGCGCCCCAGCGCCTCCAGCCCAGCCCTGTCACTTCATACAGCTCATTCCCAGGCGGTGCCACACACGTTAATGCTTCACTGTGCATCGGCCTCTAACATTTGTTGAAGCTCTACATGTGTGATGTTGCGTTCACAGGGAAGCTGTGAGTTCACAGGCAGCAGGGCCTTTATGTGTTTTCCGGTCCGTATCTTCCTGCAGATTTGAGAAGATGATCAGTGGGATGTACATGGGGGAACTGGTGAGGCTTATCCTGGTGAAGATGGCGAAGGAGGACCTGCTCTTCAGGGGGAAGCTCAGCCCCGGACTCCTCGCCAAGGGCCGCTTTGAGACCAAAGATATTTCAGATATTGAAGGGTAAGCTTTGGGCCCCTCTCTGTTTACTGAAGAGTGGGTAGGTAGCTGGGGATGAGGTAGGGGCACTGGCCCTTGACCCCTCAAATGTGGACAGCATGGGCCGTGGTGGGCCTGTGGCTGGGGGTCACTTACCAGGTAGCCCCCCATCCTTGTTCGTTAAGTGGGCTGATTCCCAAAGTGATTCATGGTGCTGCTGGGACTGAGTGGCCTCCACACTCAGGGGTATCACACTTGCATTCCTGTTTGGCATGAGGTGAAGGGTGGGGAGCTTGGCTTAATACTGGAGGCTCCCTGAGGGTTTCTTAATGATCCATTTGCATCTATTTCCTTTCCCTTCTTTGAAGCTCTGACATGTCATTCTCTATTGGTGACTTTTAAAAAGGACTCCCTTCTGATCCCTGCTTCATAACAGAGAAACAGGTCCTTGGGCAGCTGGAGATATACCCATTTAGTTCCAATAGGTAGAGCTGCGGACTGCATTTTCATAGAGCAGTAGGGGTGGGAGTGAGGGTGGCCTAATTTTTGTTTTCCAGTTAACAATATCCAGAGTTGGGCTTTGTTTCTGTTCTTGAGACTCCCACTTGTGGCTTGGGGAGGCCCTGTTGTTTCAGGGACCAGATGGTGCAGAGGAGGTGATTTGGGTGTAAAGGGAGCAGTGAAACAATTCAAGTGACTTGAAATGGAAACTCTTGAAGGAACTGGGCCTACTTGTTAAACCCCGAGGGGATGGAAGTCCTCAAATCTGTGAGGCACTTAGTTCCCCTAAGAAGAGTGCTACTCTCGCAGCGCCAGCCCTTCATCACCGTCTTTAGCATGAGCCAAAGCAGTGCCCCCTCCGTTGTGAACGCAGTCGATTCTGACTGCTTTATAGAAAGTAGGGTGGGCTCCACAGCTGGGACCACACATCAGAGGTGGTGGGTAGCAGGGACACAAGCAAACGCACACCCACACACACACACAGCTTGGTGTATAAAGCCCTGAGAGCAGGGCCTTGTCCTTGTGTAGTATGTGCATAAGAAATGTTAGTTTTTCTTGCCAGGTTGGGAAAGAGAGGCACCTGTGGTACTGAGGTGTGTGTGTCCATCTGTCTGTCTGCTGGCAGAGGAGCCTCAGTTGTGTTCCCCCTCCTTGTTCAGGCCCCATCCAGGGGCAGAGCAGTGACGTGGGGGCCTGCCCTCGCTGGGAGATGGCGTGGGCTGAAGCTGAGGGGTTTCCTCGGCAGCCTGACACCCCTCTGCCACTGGCCACAGGGGATTAGACACGTGCCCACACACTGTCTGTTTCCCAGGGAGAAGGATGGCATCCGGAAGGCCCGCGAGGTCCTGGTGCGGCTGGGCATCGACCCGACACAGGAGGACTGCGCGGCCACTCACCGGATCTGCCAGATCGTGTCCACGCGCTCAGCCAACCTGTGCGCGGCCACCCTGGCGGCCGTGCTGCGGCGCATCAAGGAGAACAAGGGAGAGGAGCGCCTGCGCTCCACCATCGGGGTGGACGGCTCCGTCTACAAGAAACACCCTCTGTGAGTCAGTGTTTGGGGCTCACGATGATGGGGCTCCCTGACCCCTTGGGGGGCCCTGACAAGCTTGAGAGAGACCCCATGGCTCCAGGGGCCACCTCTGTCCTGCATCCTGGGGTGGTGGACATGAGCAGTGAGCTGAGGGGCTTTATGGAATAAAAGTTCCCAGCTGGGCAAGTGGAGCCGGGAGGGTGTCCCTGGTGTGGGTGGAGGTGATTTCTGAAGGCTGCTGACTGCAGCTGAGGGTGGGGTCTCCTCGGAGCTCTCCTGGCCTCTCTCCACTCTTGTTGCCACCCTCTTGTTTAAGAGTTAGTGTTTTTCTTCTCTCATTTCTTTGGCTCTCTCATGATCCTTGATGGTCCCTTCAGGTCCTGTGTCCTCTGCCATGGGCCACCCCAGCCCAGTGGGCTATCAGCCTCTCTGGCTGACCTGGCTATTGGACTGATCCTGCCCTGTCTTTCATGTTTCGATCCCTTGGGTCCTAAGTGCCAAAATATGCAAGTTTCAGTTGGGACCTAGAAGATATCTATCTCTATTGTGCCCATATGTTCACCTATGATGTGTGCCAAGTCAGTGGGCCTTCACTGACTGAATTGGTTGATGCTGAAGCTCTCAGCTCTACCATTCATTCCCCGGCCTCCTAGCCCAGTGCTTCAAGCACTTTAAAGTGCACATGAATCACCTGCAGGTCTTGCTAAGAGGCTGGTTCTGATTCAGAAGTTCTGGGTTCAGCCCAGTGATGCTGCGGGCCCACAGACCGCACTTGGGAGTGGCCAGTTCCTGGAGACCATGGCTCAAAGCAGCACCACCCAAGAATGTCTTGCTGAAAATACCTATTCAGACACCTTTGGGATCTTTGGCAGATTCCAGAGAGAGGCCAAAGTCCAGAAGAGCATTTAAACTTTTTCTGATTTGGGTGTTTTCCAGGAAGCATCTAATGAAATGAGTGATGAAACAAGAATAGTAGTTGGTGTCAGAATCACCCGATTCCATTGGGCTGCTCCAGCAAAGAGGCTGCTATATGGGGCAGAGGAGTTGTGGCCTATGGGAGGAAGAGGTCTATGTGACTATCTGTAGGGCATAGTGGCTTCCTAAAAGGGTCCTTTCAGCAGGTGTTGGACCCAGCCAGGGTGGACACAGTTGAATATCTGAGTTTTTGTACAGCCACCCCTAACTTGGGAAAGGTGGGGAGGGGATTTTGGAGGCAGCATCTGCTTCTGCTGGTCCCCCTTGGCATTTGTGCTGAGGTGTTGAGCCAACACTCCAACTATTAGCCCCATTGGCCCTAGCTGTGGTCACCCACCTCTCACCCATCTCCATGACTGCAGTTTCGCGAAGCATCTTCACAAGACCGTGCGGCGCCTGGTGCCTGACTGCGACGTCCGCTTCCTCCGCTCTGAGGATGGCAGTGGCAAGGGGGCAGCCATGGTGACAGCAGTGGCCTACCGGCTGGCTTACCAACACCGAGCCCGCCAGAAGACCTTGGAGTCCCTGACACTGAGCCGGAAGCAGCTGCTGGAAGTCAAGGAGAGGATGAAGCTAGAAATGGAGCGAGGTCTGCGCAAGGAGACTCACGCCATCGCCCCTGTCAAGATGCTGCCCACTTATGTGTGCGCCACCCCCGACGGCACAGGTACTTAGGCTGCCACCCAGCTCACCTCGGTGGGCCTTTGTCCCGGTGTCGACACCCTGGGAGAACGCCTCAGCCTTAGCATTGGCTGTTTGGACCAGAACATATTTCTCCATCTGTAGTACAAATGCTTCCCAACTTGGGTTCCATCCCAATAAGTCCATCATGAGTCGAAAATGCATTTAATACACCTAACCTACTAAACGTCACAGCCTTGCCTGGCCTGCCTTAAATGTGCTCAGAACACTTACAGTAGCCTCCAGTTGGGCAAAGCATCTGACACATGAATACACTGTAGGGTACTGGGTGTTTGCATGGCTCACTAGGAGCTATGGGCTGGTGACTGCATGGCTCCCTAGGAGCTGTGGCTCCCCACTTCTGCCCAATGTCACAAGAGTATTAGACCACATATCACCGGAAAAGATAAAAATTCGAAGTATGGATCCTACAAAATGCAAATTGCTTTCACACCATTGTAAAGTCAAAAAATAACCGTTGGGGCAAACCATCCTAAATTGGGGCAAACCATCCTAAGTTGGGGACCGTCTGCACTAGGAAATTCTAATGGTCAGTAAGCTCGATCAAGGCTTTCTCTGCTAAAATTTTAACAGTGATAATATAGTAAATACTTACTGAATGCTGACCGTGTCAAGCATTTCTCTAAGCATTTAACACATATCAGCTCATTTAGTCTTTGCCTTTTAACATAGATTAGTTGTTAATTTTGTTTATTAACAAACTATTATGGTTGGCACAGAACTAAGGCACAGAGAAATAACCTGCCCAGTTCACACAGCTGGAAAACAGCAGAACTGGGACTCAAACCCAGGCATTTTGGTTCCAGGGTCAGCTCTTAGAAGCCCTAGATCAGGGATTGGCACACTAAAGCCCACAGACTAAATCTGGCCCACCATCTATTTTTGTAAATAAAGTTTTATTAGTGCACAGCCTTGCCCGTTTGTCTATATTGTTTATGACTGCTTTGCATTACCAGTGTGGTTGCAGCAGAGACTGGCTTACAGGGCCTAAATCTGCCCAGTCCTTCACAGAAAAATATTGCTAACCCCTAGTCTATGTCTTACAACTAAAGAGATGGCAGTGTTTTCCCAATTCATAGAAAATGTTCACTGAGCAGGCCAGGGGAGCACAATCGGTACACGTTCCAGAGGCAGAGACTGGGAGCTGGTCCCTGCTCTACCCTCTTCTGGCTGTGTGGCCCTGGGCAAGTGACTCAGCCAGCGCAGCCAGGTCTCGCTCCCTCGTCAGAGGGGAACACAGTGCCTCCCTCTGTGGGCTGCCTGAGGGTTGCATGAGCACTGTGTGAGGGGGAAAGCACGTGGTGATTGCCCAACAAGGAGGGTGTTTGACTCTGCCATTCCTTCTCTATTCTAGAACCTGACATAAGGTGGCCTTTGATTTAGCAAGAATGGCATATTTTTGAGTGCTCTGTGTCACCCTTTCCCTTGTTGTGACTGCAGAACTTGTTGTGACTTCTGAGGCCCTGCCACTTGAACTCATTTGAGAACCACTAGGGAGCCAGCAGCCTCTGGTTCGGGTATCTTACTTTCTTTACTGTTAGGTGAAGATCACAGTCCGTCAATCCTGAGGTTGTTGAGGGCCCCCTGGGAGAGTTCCCCATTAAGGGAAGGTGCTTTAGACCCTGTCACTCTGCTGTGGTCAAGTGATGATGCCCACTCATCATCTCCCTGGTGCATTTTCCAGAGAAAGGTGATTTCCTGGCCTTGGACCTTGGGGGCACCAATTTCCGAGTGCTGCTGGTGCGCGTGCGGAATGGGAAGCGGCGCGGAGTGGAGATGCACAACAAGATCTACACCATCCCGCAGGAGGTCATGCACGGCACAGGCGACGAGGTGAGGCGGGGCGACACCTCTGGGAGGGCCCCTCAGGGGACACCCACGCCTTACCTGGGAGGACAGCGCTTCCTCTGCCCACCATGGTTCCGGGGTGGGCTAGGTGGGCCAGGACCCAGGGCTGGTCCTACTCAGGATTACACCTGACCTTGCATTTCTCTGGGTGGAGGCTTCACTCGTGGTCGAGCCTTGCTGGGGGAAGGCTGCCCTGGCCAAGGCCCTCTCCCTTAGAGCCCACCTTGTCCCTGCAGCTCTTTGACCATATCGTCCAGTGCATCGCTGACTTCCTCGAGTACATGGGCATGAAGGGCGTGTCCCTGCCCCTGGGCTTCACCTTCTCCTTCCCCTGCCAGCAGAACAGCCTGGACGAGGTAACAGGGCCTTCCTGGAGGGCTCTCCTGTGGGCTTTATTGATTCCGTACCAGCCAGAGTTTGGAGCAGGTGACAAAGTTGAGCTTAGAGGAGGAAAAGATGGGCATGAGCGACCAGTTGTGAGGAGGGGCCTGTTGGTGGGAATTAGTAAGTCAGAGGTGTTGGAGGTTAGTGGGTTAGCTCGGCTATAACAAACAATCTTTGGGATGACGATGATGATGCTAATCAAAATATTAACAACTGACATTTTTGAAGCACTTTTTGCTGGATACTATGCCAGGCTTTCTATACGCATTACTTCATTTAACCCTCACAGCAACATATAAGGTAGGTGTTGTAGACCCATTTTGCAGAAAGGAAAATAAGGTCTATAGAGATGCCAAATACTGAAACCTGCCATTTCTTAGGTTGCAAAACCTAGACTAGGTTAGACAGCTTGGGAACGGCCAAGCCACAATTTTGAATTCTGGTTTCCTGACACCTAAGCCCATGCTCTCAATTAAGCTCAGCTGCTCCTGAGGCCCTTGTTTTGTGCTCAAGACATTTCCACTCATCTCCAGTCATTTGGATGCCCTTGCTCTTCCCTAGTCTCACCTTTGTTTTTCAATCCCTTCGGTGAATGAAGCAAGTGGGGAAGACTAGTGCACCCAGATATTCTGGACATATGTTGAGAAGTGTCAGAGAGCTGAGTAGGTGGTGCTTGCACTTGATCTGGGTCGACACTTGGTATATTAGATGTCAAAATACTGTCATTTAAGCAGTTCTTCCTCTGTGTCTTTGTCATTGCAAAGCATGGTACAGGTGGGTAGTATGCTATGGGTGGAGTTGCCAGGGCACAAGAGGCATAGTTCTTACTCTAGGTGCTTACACATAACTAGACTAATAAAGCAAGCTCAGAAAAGCCAGAGCTGCTGTTTGGAATATGGCACCAATGGGGTGTGAAAGCCCCAAGGACATGCGGTGTGATGTATTCTGACCACATACGTGGAGGGCATGAGGAATCCTTGGATTATCTGAGTCAGAAGAATGGGTTGATAGGGGAGAAAGGCAAGCAGGCTTGCCATGTGGAGAAAGGCATGTAGATGGAACAGTCACAGGTTCAGTGAGCTTGATCAGTGGTGAGGAAAGGACACATTTTCCACGGGGTCCCTGGAGCAGCCACCCTCATGTTGCTCAGCTGAGTTTTGTAAATATCTCCTACTCTTCCCCTCTGACTTAAATTCACTGTATGCACTAAGGCAGTTAAGGTTTGGGGATGTTCTGCATTGAAAACCCTTCCTAACTCAGTATTTCCCAACATCTGTTAACATTTGTCTAGTGTTAACTACTCCAGTGTTGCTTTTAGCTTTTCCAGTTTCTTTGTCTCAACACATTGTCTTCAGTATCACTGGGTTTTCAGAGCCTTCACATTTGCATTAATTTGGCAAAGGGAATTACCAAACATGTGGATAAATACTTATGTGCTATTTGATGAAACATTGCTTATTATAACAAAGACAGCAGAAACAAACCTAATTGTTCAATAGTCAGGAAATAGTTAATGAATTATGAGCCATTCACTGCCTCATATCAGTGACTAGTTTTTTGGAAGAAATTTCAATGATATGGGAAAAAACTGGCAGTAAGACAAAAAAAATTTTTTTAAGAAATGTTTTATCTCTGTACTATACAAACTTATAAAAATATGATTAATAGGAAGATAAAAACATAACACTCCAGTGTATATACTTCCATACTTCTCCTACTAAAGAATTTTAAAACAGATATTGTCTTATATGCCAACATGTTACATTAATTTTTACATTTGTCTAGTGGTCCCAAGACATGTTAACTGTTTTTGCCTGAATTGCAAGATTCCAGGCCTATATGTTCTAATTTTCTACAAGGACCATATGTTCAGTCTAGAATTGTAAAAATTTAGAGTCAGTAAAGCAGAAGCCAGTCTCTGCTCTGGTGAGATCACCCTACTGATGGGAAAACCAGCAGGTGCTGAGGCCTGGAGGCCTCAAACTGCCCCGACTAGCTGGTGGCCTTGGGAAAGTCTTCCCAGGTGTTGGGGCCTCTGCTTGTCTTAGTTCCACCTGAAATAATGTTATTTGAACATTTTATAAACCTGAAAGTGGCCAAAATACAAAATTTAATCCAAGATGTAAAGCTAGTTTGTAGACAGGAAAGCTGGGTGGAGAAAAGCACACAGGTGTTTGGATGTAGGTGTGTAAACCAGTGCGCTGATGCTGCACTTTGTTTTTCTGAATCTCCCAGGATCAGAACACAGTGGCACGTGCAGAGTAACTAGTGATACCAAACTCCTGGGCCATGAAATGCCAGCCTGGTGGGCATGAACAACTAGGCAAGGCCTGGGAGAACCATGCGGGTGGGTGGATAGTGAGTGCACGGCCCATTTATAGATTCTGGCATCTTGGGAAGGGGGCCTGCATATCCTTCACATTTGTTTCCTTATGGACTTGAGCAGCAAAGAGGGAACCAGGGAACAAAACCCTCTCTTTTTTGAACACTTCTCTCACGTTCAAAGCCATCATGTTATCTGCTCTGGGAGGGCCTCATGACATGGCACAGGATCACAGTAAAGATGAGAGGGCTATGGGGGAACCCAAGGAGCTCCGAGTGCTGCCCTCAATGGGGTGGTGGTGAAGCTTCAATGTCACCCCAACCATGGGATGGGCACTTGTTCACTGCATGCTGGAGTTTGAAAATTAAGAGGCACACACTGACCCCTCTGATGTAAATGTAGGGTGGGGACAGGGAAAACTGCCTTTCCCAGTGAAGGAAACAAGCATGTAGAACCTAGTTCCCTGGCAGGCACAGTTGTGTGGTGCTTGTGGCCCACCCACTGGATCTGGTGGCTCTGGGGGGTGAGCCCTGCTCTTCTTCTCCAAGCTGCAGGCCTTGGGCAAGTTACTGCAGAGCCGCAGTTACCTGTAAAATGGGCATGGTAATGATAAACATTTCCCAAGGTTGCTGTGAGGATTGAATGCTGTAACGCGTGAGATGTGCTTAGCCTACTACCTGGGACGTTGTGGGCACTCAGTAAATCCAAGTAAGGGAACCAGTTTAGAATCGTTGTGGGTGAGATGACTGATTACTATAGGGAATCTGTATAACCCGTGTGAGGGATTCACCCAGGAGCCCTTCTCTGCTCCCTAATTCTCTGGCACCCTAATCACTACTCCCGTGTGATCTTCAGAGCATCCTCCTCAAGTGGACTAAAGGCTTCAAGGCGTCTGGCTGCGAGGGCGAGGACGTGGTCGGCCTGCTGAAGGAAGCCATCCACCGGCGAGAGGTGGGAGAGACGCTGCGACCTGCTGCGATCCGTGTGTTCAGAGCGTGGGGGAGTGTGGAGTGCGCTGGAATTGGTCAGGGGGAGAATTAACATAGTCCTCAGCAGTGCGTGGGTGTCGCTGTGTATCAAGCCCTGCTCTTGGCACTGGGGACTCAGGAATGACCACAACAGGCTCTTGTACTGTAAACAAGCCCAGGAGCTAATGTCAGTGTTGTAGAGCTATGAAAAAAAATGAGGCTCGGGGAGGGCACAGGGAGTGGGCTGGGGAAGGGGCACTCCAGTAGTATAACCAGGGAAGGTCTCTGAGGAGGTGACATTTGAGCAGAGACCTGCATGAAAAGAAAGAATGAGCCATGCTGGATATGTTTTATATTCATGTAAGTCTCCTTGCACATGTCTGAGGGGAGAATGTTGTGTTTCATTTGTGGCCTGGGGGTCTGCTTTCGCCCTCTCAGGAGTTTGACCTGGATGTGGTCGCCGTGGTGAATGACACAGTCGGGACTATGATGACCTGTGGCTATGAAGACCCTCACTGTGAAGTTGGCCTCATTGTTGGTAAGGACCTAGGTTGTCCTTCCTACATGGGGACACCTGGCCTCAGGTGGGTGGGAGACGATGCTGAGTGAGGCCCTGATGTCTCTGTGATTGGCAGGCACCGGCAGCAATGCCTGCTACATGGAGGAGATGCGGAACGTGGAATTGGTGGATGGGGAAGAGGGACGGATGTGTGTCAACATGGAGTGGGGAGCCTTTGGGGACAACGGGTGCCTAGATGACTTCCGCACAGAATTTGATGTGGCTGTGGATGAGCTTTCTCTCAACCCCGGCAAACAGAGGTAGGCACCCAACTGCGTGTGGCCTCTGGTACGTGTATCCCAGAACTGGATGGTGACAAGTAATCAGGTCCTCTACAACAGCAAAGCCCACGACGTTCGTTCTCTTGAGATGTTAATAGAAGGGATTTCCTAGGAAAGAGTTTCTTGTCCAACACATCTGGAAAGTTCTGGGTGAAGTCCTTTCCCCCTGCTGGACTGTGATGCTTTCAAAGCCCAATTGGGAAAACAAATGAAAACAGTATATTGCAAGGATTTCATATAGGGAACTGGTCACACAAGTTTTAGAGGGATGAAAAGACAAGGGGGACACTGAGGAATACAGAGTTAGTACATGTAAGAAGCAGCTCCCGCTCCTAGCACTGTGAGGACAGGTGGGAGAGAGAGTGCTGAGACCTAGGTCTGGGACGGTGGGGAAAACAAATAAGAGTTGAACCAGTGATGCTATCAGGATGAAGAAGCAGAAACATCGCTGGGCGAGGCAGACAGGGACAGGCTGCAGACAGGATCGCCTCCTCCCTCCGTCCAGTGTGTAGTGCCCTCTGTTAACAGGACTGGAGCGGGGGCCAGCCCCAGCGTCACCAAGGCCCTAGTACGGTGTGGGGGAGCCTGAGCTGAAAGGCAGTAGTGTAAGATCCAGCACTCTTCCCACGAGGAGATGTAGTGTTTCCTAACCAGATTAATCAGAGACCAAGACACTGCACACTATGTTTTGCGAAACATCTGTCTAGAGTAGAGGTCACAGGCTGGGGTAAAGCAAGATGGAAGAGTAATGGGGCCTTGGTTGAAACTGGGAACCATGATTTTGTAAGACATGATTTGGGTCCAAAAGAGCCTCAGCCACTGAGTAGTCACATTCAGTTTTGGTGGCCAGGCCAGGGCATCTCCAGCTGGCACCAGTTACTTATGTGATAGTTATTAGGTTTAAGAGAAAGCATGCTAAATGCCTAGTGAGGTCAAGGATTAAGACTCCTACCCTTCTCCTGGAAGTGCGGTAGTTTTGGGAATGTATTCCTTCTTGAGGAATCGGGAAGAAGCCTTGGAAGGGAAATGAGCCCAGAAGGTGGGGCCAATTCCAGGGAACCCTGTGGGCCTCGGGCACTGTAGCCAGCTTCACCAAACACCAGGAATCCTGCCCAACTGAATCAAGTAGCATTTCCTCTCCCCTCAAGGGGTATCTGCATGCCCTCTGCTTTCAAATGCATCCGGGGTGGCTGAATTGGTCTGTCTGTGTCTCATCACATCCCGCCACCTGTCTACTTAACCTCCGTGGATGTCACCCACGTTGCAGGTTTGAGAAAATGATCAGCGGCATGTACTTGGGCGAGATTGTCCGAAACATCCTCATCGATTTCACCAAGCGTGGGCTGCTCTTCCGTGGTCGCATCTCAGAGCGACTCAAGACAAGGGGAATCTTTGAAACCAAGTTCCTGTCTCAGATTGAGAGGTGAGAATTTAGGTCCTGGAGTAGGGTAGGACCATGTCCTCATGGACAGAGAAGCTGACGAATTTCCACAGCTCAAGCCAGATCTGTGTGGCTTACAGAAAGGTCAGTCTAGCTGCTGACATATTCATATCTATAGTGTATATTTCAAGTATCTTATGGACAGTTGGGGTTTTAAGGGAAAACATATAACATTCCCATGAAAAAATCACGCCAAGCTGGCATAAGCCCATGCAAAGTAATATTGGGTTTTAGATCAAATATCAAAGTTAGAAAGATATCTGCTCCTAAGATGCAAATCGGAATGCACAGAGGAAGATAACCTATTACAGCACTTACGCTTGGCCGGAGGGTCTTCCTCACTGGAGGTGGCTCAGGCACTGCAGAAGGAGGCTGTGTAGCAGCTCATTAAACGAAAGCCTCCCTCACTGTCTAATGGTGAAAACGTCTGCTCCAAATTAGAACAGTGAATCTCAGAGCCCCTTAAAAATTAATGCTGTGTCGTTACTCTCAGGTGTATAGAAAAGCAGGAACGAACATGAGTGGGACCCAAGGGTGTCTGCACCAGTGAAGAGAAAGGACATGTCCTACATGTTATTTATGTGCGAGAAGATGATTCCAGAGTTCTCAAGTGGTTCCCTTTATATACTAGGGTTTATTTTCTTCCTACAATTTTATTTACATTTGTTTCATAATTAGTGCACGAGTGGATTTCAGACCACCCAGAGTGGGGAAGTAGAAATAGAACAGGGATCTGATGTTGGCCAGCGACGCTTGTCCTGCTGAGAAACAGACATGAGAGAGCTTTGCAACTGCCAACTGCCACATACGAGCCTTATCTTGTCTTTATTATTTCCAAGTGAGTGGGATACCTAGGCAGCGAATTTCCTTTTGCTTTGAGTATCAGCCTTTACACCAGCTCCCGAATGGCCAGGCTCCTAGAGTGGCAGGCCCTGGACCCCCTTGGCATGTGACTGACCACTTGCTGTCTCCCTCCCGTCCCAGCGACTGCCTGGCCCTGCTGCAGGTCCGGGCCATCCTGCGCCACTTGGGGCTCGAGAGCACCTGTGACGACAGCATCATCGTCAAGGAGGTGTGCACCGTCGTGGCGCGGAGGGCAGCCCAGCTCTGCGGCGCTGGCATGGCCGCCGTGGTGGACAAGATACGAGAAAACCGTGGGCTGGATACTCTGAAAGTGACCGTGGGTGTGGACGGCACCCTCTACAAGCTCCACCCTCAGTGAGCGACCTCTGCATTCCCAGTCCATCCTTCTCCCTCTCTCTCTCTGTTCTTTTCTTGCTTTCTCTTAGAGCAAGTAATCAGGCATTCCAACGAGTGTCTATAATGTATATATTATAGATTAGATTACTAACCAGAAGCGGGCCTGTTTCCCCACCCAAGCCCCCTGTGAGCCCCTCCCCAGTTGCACGGTTCACTGTTCCCCGCCTGCAGCAAGTGCTAAGGTGGCTCGGTCCCTCGCTTCCTTCCCCCCATGCATGCATCTGTATGTGTCTCCATTGTCACACTTAATTCTGAACCCGCTGTAGGGGAATCATGTGGCATCCCTTCTTTTGGGCATGACTTTTCCCACACGGCGTTTATGGTTTGGACGTGCGTCCACGCTGTAGCTCATTCATCTTCAGGGCTGTAGAGTGTACCTTTGTTATGCTACTGTTATTTCCAGGTGTTGGCCATTACAGACAGTGCTCTTCTGAACATTCGGGTAAATGTATGCTGAAACATACATTTCGGGGGCAAGATTTTTTCCTACTGTCTAAAGCAGGGGCTATGAATAAAGTTTTATTGGCGCGCAGCCACGCCCACTCGTTTGTGTTGCCGATGGCAGCTTTCAGCTACCACAGCAGCGTGGTCACAGCAGACCCTACGGCCCACAAAGCTGAAGGCATATCTGCTGTGTGGCCCCTTACAGAAAGGTTCCCTGCTGCGCCCGCTCCCAGTATGGGAGCAGGGAATCCCCTTTTCTTTTTGTTATTTTCCCTGCCTTTCTCCATCTCCTTTCTCAACTCTGATCACCATTTCTCTTGTCCCTTCTTCACTCATTTGCATAGGTTTTGAACAAATTATTTCAAAGTAAGGGAATACCCTGGTCCTTCCCCCCCTGGGCAGCTTTTCAGCTAAAAGTTAAAATAACAGAGCTGTGCCCCTGGCCTGGGCAGTAGGTGGGTGGCGTGAGGAGAGGGAGACTTGTCAGTTGGTTACCTGCTGTCACCAGGGTTGCCTCAAGGAGCTGAGAGACTTGCCCAGAGTTTACACAGTTAGTGAAAAGAATGGCCCTTGAGAAGTCCCAAGTCCCTTTTGTTGATATTCACTGTCACTGTTAAAATAAAAGCCTAAGTCCCAGATGAGGGTTGGGGAGAGGACAGAAGCCCAGCTACCAGCACCGGGGGTTGGTGTTGGGAGCCTCTGTCCTTGGCTTCACAGGTGAGGAGGGCAGGTCCCTGCAATGTCCCAGCAGCAGCCCCCTGAGCCTGCTTCTCTTGCTTTTAATGACACCTTGGACGCAGCTGTGCCTGATGTGAGTCAGTACCTCAGGAAACAGAAAGTGTGGGGTTCGGTCCTTCGCTCCACAGTTCATGACCAGGTTGTGCACCTCTGCTAGGCACACCTGTCGCATCCATGGCTGCTGAACTCCTCTTTCACTGATTACTTTTAAGGACTCAACTGGCCAGAATCTCAGATGCTTGAACCTTAGCTCTCCATTTGCCTGCTTTGACATAGAATCTGGGCATTTTGCTAGTGTCCCCAAGCCTCAGTTTTCTGATACGCAACACGTAGCGAGTGTTTAGTATATGACGGCTGTCATTCTTTTCTTCATCTAATTATTCCTGGGTTTCCAGCATCACTTCATAGGGTCTCATCTCTGAGGACACAAAGCAATCATGACTAAGGTTTCTTTTCTGTGTCTTCCTCCCAACTTCTCCAGCTTCGCCAAAGTCATGCACGCGACGGTGAAGGACCTGGCTCCCAAGTGTGACGTGTCCTTCCTGGAGTCAGAGGACGGCAGTGGGAAGGGAGCAGCTCTCATCACTGCAGTGGCCTGTCGCATCCGTGAGGCTGGACAGCGATAGAGTCCCTGGAGTCAGAAGGGACTTCCTCTGGTTCCCCTCTTCCCTGCTTTAAATTATAAGATGTCATCTCCTGTGTCAGAGACAGACCCTTCAGCCCTACGGTGGCAGAGAGGACCTTGCCAGCATGTGTTTGTCTCTGGGTGTCCTTACTGTAGAGTTCAGTGCCCAAGCCTTGGCCCTCCTGAGATCAATGCAATTGGAAGTAAGGATTTGTTCAGACTCATCACAGCCATTCCCCTTGGCTCTCTTAAAACTTAAATATTAACCTTTAGCAATCCTCCTGGCTGAATTCCATGTCCCTGTATAATCCTACAAGATGGGGACACTAATGAAAAGTTACAGTTGCTTTACCTTGAACCATGGACCCTGGACCTGACATTTCTAGGTGGAGAGCATCCCCCGAGGTTGATACTGGCTCTCAGAGACCTGGGAGATCTCCACTAACCTGAGCCTGATTTTCCCACAGGCAGAAGGTGGGGGGGAGGGGCGGCCCTGGAGGGGAGCCATGGATAGCCTTGCGGCAGCCCCTCTTCAGCCTCGTGTGCAAGCATCGCCCGTGGGTCGCTGTGAGCATCGCCTGGAGTTAGAGCATCCTGAGTCTGAGCACGCAGTACCAAAGCCACGAGTCGACACGTCGTGCCAGTGGACTTGTCGCATCTCCTTGTGGGTTCACGAGTCATCCACGGGCCATGGAACTTTAGGGGAGGGTGGGGGACTTTTCGGCCTGTTTAAAAAAAATTTTTCCTGCAGAAGTGTAAACACTGTATTTTCATTTTAACTTATGTTTGAAATTTATTTAGTTCACAAAGTACATGTGCTCCTTCACCTGGATACTGTACGTAATGATCTGTTGTATGTATGTATTTATATGTTAGTTTGTCATGTATATAGAGACACAGGGTCTCCTCAGATCTGGCCTCATAAGTCGATTGAGTAAAGGATGGAAGGTGAAAATATTGATTGGTTAGTAGAAATACCTCATTCACCTGTGGGAAGAGAAGGGAAGCTTCTTCATGGTGAGTGAGTGGCTGGCAGCTCCCTCCCGCTCCTTTCCCTGCAGACTCTGAACCGTGGGAAGCAAGGGAGAGGGAAGAGGCTGAGCCTGCGGGCTGAAGAGACCACAGCCACTGGCTGCTGGGTGTAGAGACTTTCTTGGGGCAATATTACCTGGATGTTAACCAAAGGACTCAGCTCATCGCTTAGGAATCTTCATTCTCAAGGCACTCGGTAGAATTTTGAAGCTCTCTAACAAGATAAAAGAAGCCACCAAAAACATTTAAAAAAAAAATTGTGCCTGACAGTTGATAACAAACCAAAACCATGAAACAAACAATGGAATGAAGCCTCAGGGACAGCACTTTGGGGGATTTGTGTCCTAGCAAAATTGGTTTTGTAAATGTTTTACAGGAAGCTTGTAGAGGGCTTCTCTAGCCTGAGCTGTTTTTATACACACAGCTATTTATTTCAAACTGTT